GCAGGCAGTGAAAGACATTAATGCAGCATGGTGCTTTCTGTTCCCTATTCAAGAAAGCCAAAACTGATGGTCAGGTATCCCGGCAGCCACTCCACTCTCCCTAGGTCTGGACATACCAGCGTGCCTGACCTTCCCGTCCCCATGCAGGTATGCTTGGGAGAGCATAGGCAGGAGTCGGGTCTCAGCTCCCCCGCGCCCCCACCTCCTGCACCCTCCTGAGGTGTCCTGGCTTTCCCAGCCTCTGTGCACAGCTCTTTTGTGTTGGTTTTCTTCCAAGAGCATCTTGGTTTCCCTGCTCCCTGTGTTCTGGAGGCCACCCTCACGCTTGTCCTCATTTTTCCTCCTGAGGAACGGTGCAGCGGATCATGTCAAGCAGGCCCTGGGGAGACACTTCAGAAGTGAGTTGAAGCGTCTCAGGGGAGTAGCAAACAGCAGGGCTGCAGCCGGTCTGCACAGGCAGGGCCTGCCAGCACCATGGCTTCCTGTCCCCACCCCCAGCACTCCAGCCCCGTCTCAGACCCATGTCCCTCCTCCAGGATCGCTGGTGTACACTGTGTCACCGTGCCTGGCTACTCCAAGGGCTTTGGCTACCAGACCGGACAAAGCTTCTCTGGAGAGTTCGACCATGCCTGGAATGCTGTGTACCTCGAGGGCCATTGGCACCTGCTGGACAGCACCTGGGGTAGTGGCCTGGTGGACACTACCACCTCCAAATTTACCTTTCTGTAAGTACGAGGCTCCCCTTTGCCAAGTGTCTGGTCTGTGTGTAGGGTGGGGGGCACAGGTCGAAGGAGGGAGGCATCCTGTGGGGGAGGGGAAGGAAGGGCCAAGTGGAAGAGGAAGGCTGGACAGCCTTGCCTAGGTACAGTTGCCTTCCCCAAAGCTGGTTCTGGATCACTTATGAGGAGCTGGAGCTTCTCACCTTTCCACGACTAGATCTCTCCTCGGACTCCCCATGGTGCCCCTTCCAGCTAAACCCAGGAGCCCCTCGGGTTTGACCTAGGCCATGTGTGAGAAGGGGCAGGTCCTAAGGAGCCTCACTGCCAGCAGCTATATGCTCAGATTCTCCATCTTCTCCTCCCACTTGCTGTTCTCTGAAGAGGAAGGAGGAAGAAGAATGAGGCTGGCGGAAAGGAGAGCTCTAGGTAGGGCTGAGTCACCCTGGGCCCCCATGGTACAGGCTGGATGTGGTCATCCTTCAAGGCTCGGCCAACCCTGGACTTAACCTACAGCCCAGCATGACATTCTCATGGGTTGTGTTGTTCCTAGGCAGCCTTGATCACCTTGATTTGGGAAATTGACTGTTCTCTCGGATGGGTGCAGTGAAACCTTGGCACTGCCACGCTTACCCTACATACATCTGTTACCCTCAAGAGTGCCTCCTGAGGCAGAGCAAAGCCTCCCCAAGGCCAGGCTGAGTCTCTCCTTCCTTCTCTTTGTTTCCATCTCCGACCAATCCCAGGGGGCCACGGAAGTTCCCCCACTGCACAGCCCCCCCCCCAGACACAGGGACAAGAAGGGTCCAGTGGAACTGGAACACTGGCCCCTTGCCTCCCCACCTCTCCATGCCCTCGCTGCCCACACCTGCTCTAAGGGTCACGCTTTTGCTCCATTCAAATTCCTTTCGGGCATTAAACACAGAGGGGGGCCATCCTTTCTGACCCACCCTACCCCTAACATCCTAAGGCTCTGAGAGTAGGTCACAAGTTCACGCAGAAGGAGCCTCGGATCCCGCGTGGCCCCAGGGTCTGGACACGGCCACTGAAAAGAGTCTGCAGTGCCCACCTTAGGACCACAGATGGTACCACTTCCACTCAGTTGCCAGCGATACCCACCCCCAGTGGTTGGGCCAACTGAATAAAGGTGTCCCAAAGCTCCCCTGTGAGATGCCCAGATGTGAGTGAAGGTGGTCAGGCCTACTCCTACACAGGGCTCCTAACCACACCTTCCTCCACTCCAGCTACAACGAATTCTACTTCCTCACCCACCCTGCCCTGTTCATTGAGGACCACTTCCCAGACAACAAAAACTGGCAACTGCTGAAGCCGCCTCAGTCTCTGAGGCAGTTTGAGAACAACATGTACCACAAGAGTGAATTCTACAACAAGGGCATGCTGAGTGCCCACCCTGAGACGTCCATGATCCGAACAGGTAAGGAGAGGCAGGTGCACAGGTCGGGCACCAGTAATGACTGGAGCCACTCCCACTAGAGTGAACCAAGAAAAGCAGACCACCAGACTTAGTTCTCTCCCACGGCTGGCCTGAACTGACACTTGTCATCCCCTGACACACCATGGGGACCATGGCAGGGGGGTGTTTGCACACTCTGAAAGGCAAGACCTGATCACAGAATCGCAGTCGTGGGTCTCAAAGGACTCTCCCTAGAGGACTGTTTCCCCTGACTCTCTGAGAATCCAGAGCCTGGTCCGGCTCTTGGCACACAGTGGGATGCAGGAAGGCTGGTCAGTCCACTTCCCCCTTCTCATCAGAGCCATACCCTACCCATCAGCAGCACCAGCTCTGCCACCAGGGGGCCTCCATGCATCCCAGACAGAGGCCTGAACTCCTAGAGGCAACCAGGTAGGGTGTGGCCTGAGGAATGATGGCATTGACCCCACCCTACACTGCAGGGTGGTGGAGGAAGGGGATGGGGCAAAGGGTGCAGCCAGGGGCCAGCCAGAGAGCAGGTAACTCTTGCCCCTTGCACCTCCCTGTGGATTTCATGACCTGGATACAGAGCCTCTGTGGCCTGTGGAAAGTAACAGACATGTGGCCGCTCCGGGTGCAGAAGCCACAGGCGCGGCTGCTCAGGCTACTCGCTTTGAATCTCATTTCCTGCACCTGGGGCTGCTAGAGGTCTGTGGTCTCTAGTGTGAGACATTAAACCACAAGAAAGACTCCAGCAGACCACAACAATGTCGCAGTCATGTCGCTAAGTTGAGTTTGCCTTTTTTGGGAGACATAAAAATGTAAACACCAGATTTCTTAATTTATACTAATCTAAAACTCAATTCCATATGCATGCTACAGATTGGAGGAATTTTTCTTGGTGGTTGAGAGTTGCCTTAAGAATAGGGATGGGAGAAAAAAAAAGAATAGGGATGGGAGAGAAGCAAGAGAGGGAGGCTGAGGGAGGGAGCAAAAGGGAAGAGAAGGAAGAGAGTCTGGAGATGGGGGCGTGGTCAGTGGGCGCAGGAGGGAAGGGAGAAGCAGGAAGGATGGAGGGGTACCTGGGATGCCTCCTCCAGAAGGCCTTTGGGGTCCCCAGTGCTTCACCTCCTCCGAGATGCTCAGCACACTTCTGCCAAGGGTTCTCTGAGACAGGCACGGAGCTCTTCCCACGAAGCCCGCAGCCCTGGCAAAGGCAGAGTGTAGAAAAGTACCCCCATGAGTCATTCTGAAAATGGTGGGTTCTGAAAGAGCCCTCCAGTATCCCTCCAGCATGTCCGGCTCACCTGAGGGCTGGGCCAGGCTCTCTGAAGCCAAGTCTTTAGGGTGAGTCCTTGCCAGGTATGGAGGATTAATAGTGAACATCAACCAGACAGCCTTCTCTTTTGCCAGCCTCCGCCCATGAACAGGGCTGGAGAAGTGGCTGGGGCAAGGGATGGGGTGGCCAGCTTCTAACAGAAGGCCGGGCTCTGAGAGTGGGCACTGTCCTGGGGAGCCAGGGAAGCCCCGATAGAAAAAGCCCTCATGAGCTGCAAAAGCCAGGTGGAAGACAACGACCTAGCTAAAAGTACACACAAGTGCCGGTCAAGGTGGGCCTGGAGTGAGAGGGGATGGACTTGCCAAAGCCCGTTCCAGAAACACGGCTATGGCACTCCTATGTGAGAAGCCAGTATGGGGAGGGGAAAACAGAAAAATGCCCTACTAACGCTCCTGGGCACCGATCCCTGGAGGGAAGGCCTTCCCACTGTTCATATGACAGCTGTTGACACCAGAAAGAATCACCACTGTGGAGGGATGTGAGAGTAATATCTAAGAGTTGCAGGGGCTGGAGAGATATCACCGTGTTTAAGAGAGCCTGGTGCTCAACCAGAGGACCTGAGTTCTGTTCCCGACACCCACATCCTTTAGTCAGCTCACAATCACTTGTAACTCCAGCTCCAGAGGATCCAGTGCCCTCTTCTGGCTTTCACAGGCCCCCACACACATATGACATTCACACAAAGACATACAAACATGCACATAAAAATAAATCTTGAGAGAGAAAGAGACACAGAGAGAGAGAGAGAGCTGAGGGACATGGCACTCTTTCTGCCCTTTGAGCCCCTCCCTGCTCTGGAGTCAGGTAAAACATCCAGACAGGCTTCACCTGATGTAAAGCAAATGGGAAAGGAGCACATATGGCCGGGGCAGGGTTTTTCTTTGGCCCCTTCCCCCCACACAGACACCCCCACCCCCGGTTATCAGCTCTTTCAAAAATATTCACCTAAATGAAGCAGAAGAATACCATGTTCAGTGACATCACATTGGTAAAATCAAACTTGCTAGGAACATTTATACCACAGACACGGACACACCCTGTAAATCACATCTTCCCCCTGAGATCTAGTTGTTAAGCATTCACCAGCACATACTGGACCCATCTCACCTGACCCGGACTTCCTCTCCACAGTGAATGGGAAAGCCACGGTCACCATTGAGAGCTGTGCCCCGACACTGTTCATGTTCATGCTCAATGGCAAACAGGAGCATGGGTTACTGAGCCTCAGGAAGAATGGGATGAAGTTGGAGGTGTACCCTCCAACCATGGGCACCCACAAGCTGCAGATCTTCGCCAAAGGCAACTCTGACATCTACAGCTCAGTGCTAGAGTACACACTCAAGTGCAACTACGTAGACCTGTCTGTCCGGCTGCCCGCTGAGCTTCACCAGCCCGTGGGCCCCAGCTGGTTCTCCGAGCAGATGGGCATCACGAAGCCCTCCCACCCTGACCCCATCATCCACACCAGTGATGGTCGCTGTTCCATCAGCTTTGGCGTGGAGGAGGGCATCAGTGTCCTGGCATCCCTCCACGGAGATGACGGCCCCATCACCGAGGAGACGCAACGGCGGTACATCTTCCAGTTGAACCGGGAGAAGAGGACAGAGCTGAAAGTCCAGCTGCCCCACGCTGGCAAGTTTGCCCTTAAAATCTTTGTGAAGAAGAGGCAGGAGCAAGGCAATTTCGTCTTTGTCTTCAACTACCTCCTGTGCTGCGCCAACACCAAGGTGAACTGGCCGATGTTCCCTGAGAGCTTCGGCAACTGGGGGCAGGGCAATGAGCTGCTGGAGCCTCTCTCCGGTGTGCTTCCGGCCAATCGCAACATACCCTTCAAACTGAAGCTGCACGGCATTGCCAAAGCCCTGGTGAAAGGGCAGGACACGTGGCCCCTGACCCTTAACCCCGAGGGCTACTGGGAGGGCAGCTGCAACACCGCTGGCTGCCAAGAAGTCTACGTCATGGTGCTAGAGAATGCCAACCACAACTTCTACTCCTACATCCTGAAATACAAAGTGAACGACCAGTGAGGGGCGGCATACCCACAGCCTCCCAGGGCTGAGGCCAGCCCTGCCCAGGGAGGGCCCAAGTGAAGTGCAGAGAGCCTGGGACACCGCTGATCTGCATGAAATGACTTCTAGGCTTCTGCCTCCGTCTCCCGGCTCTGTCCCGGGCACTGAGGAATTTGTGCTGCTGAGGGCTTCCACTCAGTGTGATGGTGGATGGAGGGACAGAGGCAAAGGCCCTTTAGAAGAAAAAGGTGCTATGTAAACCCAAGGTATTGTGAAGTGTATGCCCGTGCCTAGGCCTGCTCATCATGTGTTAGTGCTATGCTGTAGAGCTGGGTGGGAAAGCAGAGATGTTGCCCATGTTGAAAGATCTCCATACCATGCCTAGAGAATGATGTCTGAGGCTGAATCTATCGGAGAGGCCAGCCACCCAAGTCATACAGTGTTCCTCCACTGCTTCTGGGGATGCTGGGCCTGCCCATCTTCCGTTTGCCTAGAGCCTCTCCATTAACCCTTTCGTACTCTTCAAGAGCTTACAGAAAGGGAGATGTGGAAAAGAAGCCAGCTGACCGTCAGCCAACTAGAGGCTGTTATCTCCCAACCCCTGTGAGTCTCTGGGATGGGGCAAGGGCAGAAAACAGCTGTGTGCACACAGGGATGTTCTGGGTGGGGACCAGGGCTGGAGTGGTGCCTTTGGAAGTCCAGCAACGCACACTTAAGGGTGAAGCTCCTTAGTCCATGTGCCTACCAGAGTTCAGCTCAGGGCCTAGGGCTGACCTCCCCGCCTGAGCCCAGGCCCATCGTCAGTTTTTCCACTGGAACCTCAAAGGCCTACACGACCAGTCAGGAGCCTGGCTGGTGACCTGCGGCTTCCAGGGTCCCTTACAAGCAAAACCAGGCTGAAGGGACCCCCGCACGCCCCTGGAGAGAATGTTTGTCCCTGTCTCTGAGAAAAGCCCTCTCATAGCCATTTTCCCCTCCTGTCTTTCTCTGAAATGACAGCTCCTGCCCTGAGTTCAGCCTTCTGTTGGGAACAGCCGAGGGCCTCTTACTTGCTCAGGCCTGTCCTAAAAGACCTCAGCTGCCTAGCTGGCCCTCAGCAGCACCTGAGGCTGGTGTTTCCATGGCAACGGCCGAGGGACCGGCAGTCTGTAGCAGGCAGCAGGCAGGGAAGGCCTGAGAAAGGCCCCAAGAGGCCGCTACAATACAGTCCCAGTGCACAGATGCACTCCAGCCTGGTCCCCACCGAACTTCTGGGTTCGAGGGGTCTGCCCACTCTGCCTATCTCAGGACCCCCATCCTTCACTTCTGAGAGCCACCCCACCTGTCCTTAGGCCATGTGGATGCAGCCAGAGCCAGCCTGGGATCCTCATAGCCTCCTTCTCTTCAGGGCCCCGTGTTGGATTCTGGGACTGTAGAGGTTAACAGGAAGGACTCAGCCATAGCCATCCAGACCTCTGGGTGGGTGGTCTGCTGGGGGGGCGGGAGGGGGCGCGATCTGAGGATCCAGAATCCCAGAACCTCAGTCCTTCACCCCCTTTAGCTCCTTTCCCACAGTACCCCACTGCCACTCACCTGGTACCAGATACCCACCCTCCACCAAGCTGGGCAGCCTCACTAGTTAATAGCATGGCCACTGGGGGCTGAGCTGCCTTGGCTTGTGTGCTGGGTCCTCTGGCCGTCTTCAGCTGTCCACCTCTTGTCATTCACTCCGGAAAAGGCACAAAGACCCCGGAAGCATCACCACTGCACACCACTACGAGGTGGAGTGGAAACGGTGGAGTTTGCCCAGCCTGGAAACAGCCTTTCCTCACCCCTTTTATTTTACGAGCAGGAAGAAGTGTGCTATGTGCTAACAAAGTAAGTGCTTCTGTGATTCCTGCCACACACACACACACACACTAGACACAGCCCTGACGGCCACTGCTAGCCCTGCAGAAGATGATACCCATGTTTTTCAAAACCGCATGATGAGTCCACCCGGGAGCTTGTAGAGCTTGCTACCCCCCACAAAACAGGAGCTGTCCTCAGCACCAGAGACCCAGGCCGGCCTCTCCCAGCGCGGCGTGGGTCATCCGCGCACGCCCCTGACTCCTCATTTAACCAGGCAGCCCCCCTTTGTCAAGGCAGCTGTAGGAGCACTCAGAAAAACGCCTGCATTTCTTTCCACGGAAGTAAAGATACATGAAACTAAATCCAATCTTCATGAATTTTTACACGCATGCTGCTCAGGCTGGAAATTTGGAGGTTGCGTTTTGAAGGCTTTTTATTCAAATCCCCCTCTTTGTCTCCCGGTCCACGAGTCCCAGTGGCCGAGCGAATGGCACGAGCGCCCCCTGGTGGTCAATGTGCGAAGTTGCCACCGCTGCAAACATCCGACTGGATCTATGATTGTTAAAAAATCACTAGGTGCTTTCTTGTCCCTCGTGGATACGCCGAGGTCAGCGTTGCCATGCAGACTGTGAGAAGAGCCTGGGGAGACTTCCTGGCTGGCGTGGTGAGAAAACACAGAATGTGATAAGAATTAAGAGTGTTTTGCCCAGAAATCTTTTTCCTGAGACAGAAACCCTGGACACAAGCCTGCCTGGCCGAGGTCGCTTTGATCACACTCATTGCTATGCCAATGACAGGCTGAAACTGATCAAACTCAGCATTTTGCCAGGCAAGCCCCAGGATGGGTGCCAGGATGCAGAAGGATGGGGCGTGGTGGGCCAAAAGGGAGCAATTAACCTCTTTTCCGTTGGCTCCAGAAGTGCCCCCGTCTCAGCTGGACTGCTCTCTGTCTGATTGTGAGTATTTTGAGTTCTCCATATGTTTCATTGTCCCACCAGGATGGACTTCTCAAGGCCCGCTGAGATTAAAGAGACGTAAATAGATTAACTGAAGCATGAAGGATTTGAGCTAGATATAAAGAGCCGTTTCCTGTCGTGTAGCAGGAGGGACACGTTGCCAATAAAGTCTGTGAAATTCTCAAAGGACTTGAAAAGGAGAAAAGTCTCCCCAGTGTTCTGGAGTTTTCTTTGCCATGCTTGCTGAAGCGGTTGGGTTCTCTCTCCACTAATTCTTGGACTACACTGGTTGACCCGCAGTAAACGTGGGGTTAACGGTGTGACCGCACGGCTCACGACTGTCAGATTTCTAAGGTACTTCATCTGAAGTCTGTCATTTCTTTTCATTTGGAGTACGTAGCCAGAGCTGCAGAGGTGACTGTTTCTTCTAAGGTGTGGGCTGAATTGTGTGAGTCGCTGGCTGTTGAAGATGCTCTCTCCTCACTTCGTTGCTGGGGTTGTTTTTCAATAAAATTTATATTCATTTTTATCCAACAATGTAATTATCGATCCATCCTTATCGCTGCTTTCACAAGGAGGAAAGAAAAAAAACAAGAAAAAAAAACACTTTCATGTTCAAAGGATGCTTTTAAAAAAGAAATCAATGTCCCCGCCATTTGAATGTGATGGCGAGATGCAAATGGGGTGTTGGGCAAATAGCTATTCCACATTAAAGAAAACATAATTAGGTCAGCCCCAGCCCTCTGCGGCTCACGTGCCTTTGAAGAATCGGAAGGCCGTGTTTCTTTCATTGAATCTTGTTTAACTTGAACATTTTAAAGTCAGTCCAAATTTCTTTTTATAGTGGGAGAAGAAAAATGTGCCAAAAATTTGCCTGTCAACCTACTTTTGGGGTTTTGAATATATAATATGTTTCTTGATATTCATATACATACAAGGAACTTTCCAGGTTGCCTAAACTGATTACTCATAAATTAGACATTTAGGGGACTAAAGGGAAAAAAATGAAAATCCAGACACCTCTGAGAAACTGCTGTAACCATGGAAACCATTCTCATAGCTGTAGTGTGAAGGGCAAAAAGATTTGTGTTCCCAAATCTGGGCTTATCATGTCCCTCATTGCTAGACACAAAATCGAGACGTGTTGCGCTTCATCCTTGGGGTGGGGGGGTCCACGGGTGAACCAACTCTTGAATGACAAGCCAAGCAGAAGTCAGAACAAAGAGTCTTCAGGTCTTCCAGTCGGTAGGACTAACCCTTGAATTATTGCAACATGCTGGAAGTTCCCACCCAGGGGCTGGAAGAGATTGACCTCCAACGTTCCTTCCAGTCCAGAGACTTTCTGAAGCTGTGTCTCTGTGAACGGATGATGGCAGGCACCAGCCTGGGGTTGTCAGTTAAGCAATATCCGAAGGGCCCTGCTGTGTTAAGAGCCTGCCCTCTAAGC